GGTACCTGCATTATTTTGCCACAAGATATAAAAGAAGAGTAGTCAGGATAAAAGCAGGGCAATAATGAAGAGATGTCCACAAAGAAGAGTCCAAGTCCCTTGTATTAGTTTCCTAGGGCTGCCAAAACAGTACCACAAACTAGGTGGCTTAAAACAATGGACATTCATTATCTCACAGCTCTGGAAGCTGGATGTCTGGTATCAACGTGTCAGCAAGGCCACACTCCCTCCGATGGTTCTAGGGAACAATCCTTCCTTGCCTCTTTCAGCTCCTGGTGGCCCCAGGTGTTCATGGCAACATCACTCAAGTCTCTGCCCACCTCTGCCTTCATGTGGCTTTTCTGAGTCCCATCCTCTTCTTACAAGGACACCAGTCCACCCTAATTCTGGGATGATTTCATTGTGAAATCGAATATAGTTTGGTTATGTGTCCTCACCCAAATCTCATGTTGAAGTATTAAAAATTCCCAATGTTAGAGGTAGGGCCTGGTGGGAGGTGATTCGACCATGGGGCTGGATTTCTCACGAATGGAATGCCCACAAAGTGGGCAATAGTGGTTTAGCACCACCCACTTGGTGCTGTTCTCCTGAGACTAAGTGAGTTCTCACAAGATCTGGTTGTTTAAAGTGTGCAGCGCCTCCCCACCATTGCTCTCTCCTGTTTCTGCTCAGGCCATGTGACATGCTTGCTCCCCTTCTGCCTTCTGCCGTGATTGTAAGTTTCCTAAGGCCTCCCTAAAAGCCAAGCAGATGCCAGCACCATGCTTCCAGTGTGGCCGGCAGAACCAAGTGCCAATTAAACTTCTTTTCTTTATAAATTTCCCAGTCACAGGTATTTCTTTGTAGCAAGGCAAGAATGGACCAATACAAAATTCTGAACTAATTACATCTGAAAAAATTCTACTTCCAAATAAGGTCACATTCTGAGGTTGTAGGTGGAAATTACTTTTGAGGGGACACTATTCAATTCACTGTTTCACTGGAACACCTCCCGAAACAACTTGGATACTGGACCCGGTGAGACAGTCCCTTTGATCTTGTTCATAACAGAGTCCTTAAAGGACTGAGTTGACTCAGGAAGTGGTAAATAGTACCTATGTCAGAAGCCACAGCATAATGTGTGCCTTTTGATTACTGTGGTTTGAGTGAGTATTGCAAGGAGCCGCAGACCACAGTGGCTTGCTGAGGCTGCCAATGATCTTGAGGTCAGTGTCCTACAGTCACAAAGCTCCTGACTCCTACCCACTAGATGACTACCACTCAGAAAAATCATCCTTTCCATGGGATTTTGCTATTACTGGCTTTTTGTTTGTTTGTTCATTTTTAGTGTTATAAGAAAGAATGTGAAAAGGAATATTAACTACTTGGTAATTTATACATGGAATATGCTGACAGCAGGACTTAGCTTTATTTGTTTGCTAATATTTAAATTTAAAAGACCTGAATTTATTTTATTTTTTATATTTAATTTTAAGTTTCAGGATACATGTGCAGAATGTGCACGTTTGTTACCTAGGTAAACGTGTGCCACAGTGGTTTGCTGCACCTATCAACCCATCACCTAGGTAATAAGCCCCGCATGCATTAGCTATTTATCCTGATGCTCTCCCTCCCCCAGCACCCCTCACAGGCCCTGATGAGTGTTGTTCCCCTTCTTGTGTCCATGTGTTCTCATTGCTCAGCTCCCACTTAAGAGTAGGAACATGTGGGCCGGGTGCTGTGGCTCACGCCTGTAATCCCAGCACTTTGGGAGGTGGAGGCGGGCAGATCACAAGGTCAGGAGATCGAGACCATCCTGGCTAACATGGTGAAACCCCATGTTATATTTTAAAAATATAGGAAACTAATACAAGGGACTTGTTTTATATTTTAAAAATACAAAAAAAAATTGGCTGGGCGTCGTGGGGGGGCGGCTGTAGTCCCAGCTATTGGGGAGGCTGAAGCAGGAGAATGGCGAGAACCTGGGAGGTGGAGGTTGCAGTGAGCTGAGATCGCACCACTGCACTCCAGCCTGGGCGACAGAGCGAGACTCTATCTCAAAAAAAAAAAAAAAAAAAAAAGGAGTGAGAGCATGTGGTATTTGGTTTTCTGTTCCTGTGTTAGTTTGCTTAGGATAATGAATTCCAGCTTCATCCATGTCCCTGCAAAAGGACATGATCCCATTCGTTTTTATGGCTGCATAGTATTCCATGGTGTATATGTACCACATTTTTAAAAAGACCTAAATTTATATTGAATTATAAATATTTTATGTAATACAGATGACAACCTACTTATGACTACTGATTGAATTACTATGGTTTTTCCTAAAAGTATTTAAGGCATTTATTCATAGAAAGGCATTTACTGGGATATCAAGTTTCTTTTCTGATTCACCTTTTATCCTTGAGTAAGAAGAATGTGATGTGATATATACATATACATACATGTATATTAATTAACCAATAACTCTTATAAGTCTCAGTTGAAAGGACCTTCCTGTAGGAAGCCCTGCCTGACACTATTATTAGATCAGCTGTGTTATCCTATGCCTCTAAAGAAACTGTTGTCCTCAATTCTGGCATTTATATTTTAATGCAATCACTTACTTGTCTATATTTCTCTGAAGACTAAACGAAGAAAGGGACCTTGCTTTCTTGTTTACCCTGAAGCCTAGAGCAGCTCTTCATATGTGTAAAAGGATGACACTGAATGAATGAGTGAACAAAAAGCACTCGAAGGATTATTTAGAAATTATATTGAGTCGGGATATAGTTAAACTTTTTGAAAACTCAAAATGGAGGCATGGGGTATTAAGGTAATCCTATTTTGTTAAATCTGATCACTTCAAATACCTCATTCCCCTAAATTATGGGCTGCATGTGATATTCTACTTTGCACTTAAAATTGATACGCTAATTTAAAAAAATAACAAGTTGAGCATTTAGTAGATAATTCATAGACATTCTGCAACATAGATAGGTTCGTTGGAAATGGAGAGGGATGCTGGGCTGGAAGACTATGGGTAGTTATGCCTTACATATGAAAACGGTCTTTGTTGGAACAAGGCAGAGGATTTCTCAGGGCAACTGCTCCCTAAAGCAGGCAAGATGGGAGGCAGAGGTCTCAGAAGAGTGAGCTTCTCTGCTGGATATAAAGGTCTTTATTCTTGATATCAAGTAACCACTGACAGCTCTGCCTTATGGTCAAGTTATGGAAAGCACAAGAGAAGAGACCTTGTCCGGGCCCTCAACATTCTCAGTAGAGGCTTTCAGCTCTGACCCTTCTGCAAAAGTTTTCCTTCACTGGACACAGACTCCAAAACATGTTGGAGAGGAGGAACCACTGCATGTGGCTGAGAAAACAGATTCTTTTCCACCAGGATGCCCACAGATCCTGCTTGCTACTCTGTAAGTCTTTGAGGGTGGTAGATGTGATGAGTTGGACTGTCTTGCCCAAAAGAAATACGTTGACATCCTAACTTCAGTACTTCAGAAAGTGATCTCACTCAGAAATAAGGTCTTTAGAGAGATGAGCAAGTTACAATGAGGTCATTAGGGTGGGCTGAAATGCAGTATGACTGGTGTCCTCATAAAAAGGGAAATCTGAACACAGACGGACATGCAGAGTCTTCTGGAAGACTACGTGAAGGCAAACAGGAAGAACGCCATGTGAAGATCGGGGAGAGATCAGGGTGTCGTGTCTACAAGCCAAGGGGTGCCTAAGATTGCCAGCACCACCAGAAGCTCGAAGAGGCACAGAATGGATTCTCCCTCACAGCCTTCAGAACGAATCCACCCTGCTGACACCTTGGTTTCAGACTTCCAGGCTCCAGGACTGTGAGGCAATCAAGTTGCGTTATTTTAAGTCACCCAGTTTGTGACATTTTGCCATGGCAGCCTTGAGAAGCCAATAGGCTAGGTGTCTGTTGCTTTCTCGTATCTTTCCTCAACAATGAGCACAATGTTTATTGAAAAGAAAAATGAATGCTCTAAGAGCTGCTGGAGTCTCCTGAAAGTGAAGATGAGGGGATTGATGTTGAGCAAAAAAACAAAAACAAAGAAAATCCTGCAAAGTTGGTAAGGAGGACATTTAAATAGGGTTGATAATATAAACAAATGGTTTAACTAGGAGCATATAGCTGCCAAAATATCCCACGTCATCAAAATGCAAATGTAGCTGTATGGAATGGAACTTTGGATTATCCAGCCGAGAGGAAGCTCGGTGAAAAGTAGACATGGTATATATGTTGAAATCAAGAAGTACAAACAAAGCTTCCCCACAAGTCTGTACAGGACAAAGTATGCCTTTTCTCTGTGTTGTGGGTAGAGCTGGCATTTGCTTGAACAGTGGATAGTAATTGAGGTATCCATTTTGGTGGTGCAAAGTGTAATGCAGGGATCGCTACCCTCAAAAAACAGACCCAATTTCGTATAGATATTTATAGTCAATAAAAATTGTCCTTTCAGAAAAGAGTAGCCTCAGTTGCATTTAAGACCATTGTCATAAATTCTAGATAAAACACTATGCCATACTTTCATTCTCTATACTGTAAGAAGCAAACAGAAACAAAATCACCTCCAGAGCAATATGAAATTCTGCGTTTGAATGAGGGTCTGTGTCTCACAGATGACAACAAAGATAAGGAAGGAGGGCGCCTTTTAGACATCAGAGGCCTGTGTTCATCAAGAACCTGATGCTGAATCACTGGAGGGTAAATGAACCTTCCAAGGTTCAGTGTTTAGAATGTCGTAGACCTTCTAACAAACATTGTGCAGTCTCATCATGATCTATAGGAAGTCAGCCCGAGAGGCTGCAAACAAACTGGAACATACACTGGAAATACTGGGAGAAAGAAGGCACCTGGCAGTTTTCTGGGGAAGTGGTTTTCTGGAGAGGAAAGAAGACACAGAGGAAATGTGATGGTTGCATTCAATGATCTGAACAACTTGTCCAGTATGACTTCATCAGCTTAGAATGAGGACTAACAACAAGTGAAAATTGAAGGATCAAGGCTCAGCTCATTTTATGAAAGAACTTTTTAATAGTTGAAATCTGCAGTGACAGGACATCCTGCCTGCCTGGGTGCAGGGTAGTGAGTATCCTGTGATGAGAGGTGCTCACATAGCAGACAGGTCATTACTTGGAAGTGATGCTGCAGAGGACAATCAAGAGAGTGGCAGCTGGGTGAGGTGACCTTTAAGGTCCTGTCAACTCTGGGTTTCTACATCAAAAGGAATTCTGAAAGATAAAGCAGAAGAAGTATTTAATTTTAATGTCTCTGACCAACATGCTTTCTTTCTATAGTTCTTTCGTTCTCCTTTTTTTTTTTTTTTTTGAGACAGAGCCTTGCTCTGTTGCCCAGGCTGGAGTTGCAGTGGGGAGATCATAGCTCACTGCAGCCTCAAACTCCTAGGCTCAAGTGATCCTTCTGCCTCAGCTTCCCAAGTAGCCTGGCATTACCAAGGCTGGCTATTAAAAAAATTTTTTTTTGTAGAGATGGGGTCTCTCCCAGGCTGCTCTCAAATTCCTGGCCTCAAGTGACCCTCCTGCCTCAACCTCCCAAAGGTCTGGGATTACAGGCATGAGCCATTACCCTCGGCCTTGTTCTCCAGTTTTATATGTAATTGATAGATCTTGGAATTGATTAAAGTGATTTAATTCATGTTTCTGTATTTTGTGTCATGTAGCATAAACTGTAGACTAAGAACATGTAAAAATGCTGTCAGAACATCACGATGATAGCAAAAGTATAATGTTATAATTAAGATGGATAACGTGGTTTTACTCCATAAAATATATGCTGCCTTAAGCCTCAGATGATCATTTTTTTAAAATCAATATGGAAGTCAACATGTCAATGACACCTGGTAAAACTGTACTTTGAAGAAAATGGTGCAATAGAAAGTCATTTTTAAAATGTCAATGCATATAATGAAAGTTGATTTTAAGCAAACCATACAACTTTAGTGAACAACCATTTTGTGAAAAATACTATGCCAAGCACTAAAAAAGGCAACATAGAGACATGCAGTATTAAAAAATTATAAAAACAGCAAATGCTTTATGTTGAAATGTTTATACTGAAATCTTAATTTTACAGCAGTAATCCCACTTGCCTATTGTCTTTACCCACAGTTTATAAGTAAATGAAATATATACGTCCTACGTCATGGTTCTAAGAGTCAGAGCTAAACGAAAAGGTATAATCAGGGAAGTGGTGCTTCCTCCTCAGCCCTACTACCTCGTTCCTATTCCTCGCCGCTTCCCATGGGAAACCAATCTCCTTGACTGCTCTCCAGGTGGCGAATACTGCCTTTCCTGAATTCATTCTATAGGAAGCTGAGTAGTTCCAGGCAGGAGGAGTACACATTGTGAGGAGTGAGGCTGGATATACCTATAGCCATACACTTGGATGTTGGGTACATGATACTCTCTGGGGAGGCTGGGGCTGGGCCTCAAGCTGATAGATGGCGAGGCCTGCAAATCTATAGATAAGAAATCACCCCAAATCTGCTTGAAAGGCAATAGGAGAGAGGTTGAAAAAGAAGACATTCTTTTTCGATAAAAAGAACACTTGAGCGAACAAATCTTCCATGAGGTGTGGTACAGAAATCAGATTTAGACCTGGATCTTAAAACATACACATATTTGCTCATCGGTGCAAAAGAAATTCAGAAAAAATAAACAAGAAATGAAGGAGATGGCATGGAATGTGGACCAAGAACAAAGTAGAAATGCTGTCAGAATATCACAATGACAGCGTAAGTACAACGTCGTAATCACATTTATAGTGTAATGGGAAAGAGGTGGTGGTATGGTGAGGAATGGAAAGGGAGTAGTAGGGCTCAGGAGGGAGCCACAGTTCTCTGAGAAAACCGTTTTGTATAGTTCTGACTTTTATAAGCACAGTAATTATTTCACCTAGCTGCCTAATACCCCAAACGCCACAAACAAAACGACTAGCACGGGGGGAACCCAAATTGTAATACAAGTAGTTTAACAAATGAACTGAACTTCTCCCAAATGGATAGAATAACCACACCAAAAGGAGTAAAGAAAAAGAAAGGACTAACCCAGGTAACTTTGGTCAACAGTATCTTCACTGGATATTATAAAGATTAAGACAAGAAAACTGTACATAAAGGCTATAATTTAGTAAGTACATGTTTTTCTCATAGGAGCATGAGTTAGCAATCCTGAAACTATATTAGAATTAGGTAAATACGTCTATTGTAGATAATGACATCTGGGTTTCTCACTGTTAGACAAAGAAGCTATAAATGAAACAGGAGGGCTAGAATGAACCTTGACTGTTAGGTTGAAATTGGTGGCACCATTATAAACTCACGGTCTTAAATATATATACACACCCAGAGATAGATACAGAAATATAGATGTGCGTGTATAATTAGGTTAGTCTACACACACATATTTCTCAGCTCTGTCCACCGAGAGCACCTAGAAACAACATTCCAGTAGCAATAAGCATGCCTCACACCCAAATCTTAGTTTCTAAACACTTTTCTCCAATAGAAGGAACCAGAGCTTCCTAAGGAAGTCATTAATTCCAGGCCTGGGGCAGGGAAAACACAGATGAGTCTGGAATGCTGTTGGTGCTAGAAAGTTAATGAAGCGCTCAAAAAAGATGGGGTTCCTCTGAGGGACACAGAAGCCAAACTGAAGGAACTCTTAGTGGCCAAAGCTGGAACAGCATGAGCAATAAAACTGATAATGATAGTATTGGATTATAAATGAAAGAATAAGGCACATCCACGAGTCCATACTGATATACTTAACCAATTGAATAAATAACTAAAAAAGCAAAAAAGATGGCCCTTCCTTGCAACAGAATTCCAATGAATAAACGTGGAAGAAAAGAGTGAAATAAAAAATCACTACTAGACATAGTAGTTGTTGCAGTCAAAATCCACTGATGGATACTAAAAATAGTTGGGTGTGAGTTTGGGGAGAAGCAGGATTTTTGCATAATCTCAAAGTATCTGTCTGCAAAATATTTATTAGTCCCAAAGTGAAAAATGGTAACTTTATAGTAAACTCTGAAGAGACCACCTTAACCAAGCGATGAAGGTTAACATCACCATTAAGAAGACATGTTGATATTACAAATTCTTTGAAGTGACAATTTACGTGGCATTTTTGCCAAAATGGAATAACCTCATTCTAAGCTTGAGGAAACTTTACATGAACCCAAACTGAGGGATATTCTAAGGAAGAGGTAACCGGGACTCTTCAAAAGGATCAAGGTCATGAAGTAAAGAAAGGCTGAGGAACTGTCACCAATTGGAGGAGACTAAGGGGACATGATCACTAAACGTAATGGGAGATCCTGGATTGGATCCTGAAACAGAAAAAGGGCATTATTGGAAAAACGGGTGAAACTCCAACAAGGTCTATCATTTAGTAAGTAGTGTTATACCAGTGTTAATTTCCTGGTTCTGAACATTGTACAATGGTTATATAAGATGTTCTAACTGGGGGAAACTAGGTGAGGGGGATATGGGAACTCTTTATCCCCCTGTGCTGTTTCTGAAACTTTTCTGCAAGTCCCAAATTAGTTCAAAATTAAAAGTTAAAAAAAGAAAATAATTCTGCAAGTTTAATTAGTTCACTAGAATCATTTATGTCTCTCTGTGTGTGTGTGAGTGAAGTATTTCCAGGAATAACTTCTCAGTGAAATAAAATACTGAATGCTGCTATGTTTGTATCAAAGAAGAGACATTCTGACAAATACTCTCACTCCATTAATTCATTCTAATAAGCATAGTTGTTTTAATATCTAGACTGCAATCTAAAGCTCCAAAACTAAAGTTAGGTTTATTTGTTAATAGACATCATAAGATGTACTTTTTTCCTCTTTGGAGATTTAGGGAAGACCCTGTTGTTTTTGGTTGTTTGATATATATATACTTTAAGTTCTGGAATACATGTGCAGAACATGCAGGTTTCTTACATAGGTATACATGTGCCATGGTGGTTTGTTGCACCCACCAATCTGTCATCTACATTGGGTGTTTCTCCCAATGCTATCCCTCCCCTAGCCCCCACCCCCGACAGGCCCCGGTGGGTGATGTTCCCCTCCCTGTGTCCATGTGTTTTCATTGTTCAACTCCCTAGGGAAGACTTTCCTGAGGGAAGCCCATTGGCAGTGAGAGGCCAAAGTCTGAGCAGGAGTTAGCTGCAGATAGAGTGGGACAGTGGCATTCTAGCAGAGGGGCTGCCAGTATGAATCTCCAGTAGGAACTTCCAGAGGAACTGCCACTATGAGTGAGATGGGAAACACTTTGGCTTGCTCTGGGAAGTAGAAAAACGCCAGGATAGCAGGAACTAGGTGGTGTGAGATAATGCTGGAGAGACAGACAGGAATTGGCCACACAGGATCTTGTAGAAGAATTGAGAATGATTCCAGGAACAGTAGAAGCCTCTGAAGGGCTTTGAGCAGAGGAGACACATGACCTGAGAAGTCACCGTCTCCCACTCTATCTTAGTGACTTTAAATGCCTGTGTATATTATGCTAACCATGGTTCTTTATCTTTCCTGAGGACAGGATATGGGATAGGCCAACAGGGCAGAGTTTGATAAGCCATAAGGATAAACTTCCCTGTGAAATTCTGTCCCTGGAGGGGTCCAAGAGTGAATGACGGTGTCTCGCACCTGCCTTGAGGGGGCCGCATAGACATTCTGAATTCCGTTACAACTTTATCTGAAATGAAATACCACGATTTCCCTACAAGGTTCATGACATGACGAATTTTTTTTTTTTTTCCTCTTTGGATGTTTTGGTATTTTACAGCCTGATCTGGCACTGAGGTGCGAGATGAAATTTTTTAAAAGTTCAAAAAATGAGAGCACTAAAGCATTAATCTACCTGAGAGTAGTAAATTCATAGAACTCTTAGTAAGCCCATGTTGTACAGAAGACATTGTAGTTAAACCTTCAATTAAGAGCAGGTAGTATCCAGGTAACTACATACAGCTTCTAAGGAGGTCTTCCCAGCAGTCCTTAGACCTTAGCCCGAAGACCCAGGAGAGGACAGGAACACCCTAAGAAGAGCTAAGAAAGTATCCAGGTCTCTTGGGTCAGAAAAGCGTTCTTATTGTTTCTTTTGCGAATTTTGTTTTGAAGTCAAGAATATTACTACCTGGTAATGTCAGCACCCAACGATTTTATTTCTCTTTCTCTCTTTCTTTGTTCCCCCGTCCCCCCAACAAAGACAGGGTCTCACCCTTGCCCAGACTGGACTGCAGTGGTGTGATCATAACTCACTTCAGTTTGGAACTCCTGGGCACACGGAGTAGCTAGGACTACAGGTGTTTGCCACCATGTCTGGCTAGTTTTTTATTTTTATTTTTTTAATTTTTAGTATAGACGGGTCTCCCTATGTTGCCCAGGCTGGTCTGAAACTCCTGGCCTCAAGCAATCCTCCCACCTATGCCTCTGTCTCCCAAAGTATTAGGATTACAGGTGTGAGCCACGGCGCCCAGCCTTCTCTCTTCGATTAAAAATAAAAACAAATTTCTGTTAGTTGAAGGCTCAATATTTGCCCGTCAGTCGTTTCTTCCCATTCAGCTTACCCACGAATATTAAAAGGCAAAATAACTATAACTTCTGATAAATTTAGAAGATAAAATATTTTATGTATAATAGCTATCACTGAAAATCTCTTCAAGATCTGTGTGCATACTTTTCTTACCGTTGTAACTATATTGAACTTAACTTCTTCTTTAACTACCAAGGACTCCAGATTCACCGTCAACTTTCTTCCCGCATTCACTCTTACTGTTCAGTTCTGGGTTAAAAGACAGCGGGGCCTGAACCAAGTGTCTACAAAGCACAGTATCTGGAGAAACTTTGTTGTTGTTTTTTAAAATAACTTTTTAAAAAAAGGATCCCAGATATCTTGTTTTTTGTTTTTCTGTTTTTTTAAAAAAAAAAATCTTTTTCTCATATATGAGAAATACAGGAAAAAAAGCAATCAGGTGAATCATTTTGGTTTACTGGATTCCAACTGGTAGAGAGTTTAAACTTAAAAACCAAACAAAACGAAAGAGCTCTTCAGTTACCTTACGTCGTAAACGAGTTAAAACTTTTGTTATTTCTGAAAAATCAAAGAGCACTGTCTGTACATGGTCATAACTGCAAAGGAAACAACGGCGTACCCAGGGCAGGGGGAGCTTACTTTAAGAAGCTGCGTCTTTCTGGATCCCGTTCCTTCGGGGCTGACCCTTTCAGGGAGTTTGGTTTTTAAAGCGCGGATCTCGCGACGCGCGGCTTGCAGGACCGCGGGGCCCGGCGGCCGAGACGCGGAATTCACAGGGGCGCCTCGACGCGGCCGCGGCGGTGGTGGCGGGAGCCTGGGACGTGCGGGCTAGGGGCCCCGCATGGTAACCGTCCCCGACGGCAAGTTAAAGGCTGTGGGCACTGCGCAGAGCGCCCCCGAACGAACTCCCCCCACCCCACCTCAATCCTCCAGACCGAAAGTGCGGAACGCGGGGTCCTGCAAACTTGACCCCGAGCCAGGGTGCGCGCGGCGGCGGCGAGTGTCCCCCGGGCTTCCCGCACCCCCGGGCTGGAAGCGCCGGCCCCCGCGCACCTCGTACTCCGCCTGCAGGAAAGCGAAACCCGGCCGGCGAGCGGGAGGGAAGAACTCGGTCGCGCGCTCTGCCCGGTGGGGCCCCGGCCGGGAGACATCCCCGACCCGCACCTGGCGGCGCGACCCACCTACCTGCCAGTCCCCACGGCGCCGCCAGAAGCAGCAGCAGCAGCGGCGGCAGCAGCGGCCGCAGCGGCCGCAGGGCCGGGCTGCTGGGAGCCCGCATGGGCGGCGGGGCTGGGTCACATGTCGGGGGGCAGCAGACTGCTCCGTCCCATGCCCGCTGGAGCCAAGCGCGTCGGCGCGGCGCCTCCTTCTCTCCCGAAGCTCTGCGCGCGACGCTTCAGGCGACCCGAGGCCCAGGACCGAGGCGCCGCGGCCGCGTCCGCATTCCCCGGGCTTCCGCAGGAACCAGGGGCGAGCGACTCGCGCAGCCCCCACGCGCGCGACCCCGACTACCCAGCTGGATGGCAGCGTGAGGGCAGTTCTCGGGGATTTATAGTCCCCAGCCACTCGACTGTCAGTCCTGAGACACTGAAAGTTTCCACCTCTCCGGGCTCATGCCCAGACCAACCGAGTCACTAGGCAGGTAAAACCTTCTGGTAATGAGCGAGGTGAGCGCATTGCAAAGAGATTCTGGTATTTAGGCCGGTCTGATGGTCACTTAAAGTTCAATACCGGAAGACGGATGAAATGGAGAGTTATTTCTCAATATACAGTTAGGCACTCAGCCGTAGATCTTACAGTCATGCATCATTTAAGATGACAGGATTACCTCCTGAGAAATGCGTCTTAGGCGAGTTTCTTGTGTGAACATCTTAGAGTGTACTTACACACACCTATATGGTATAGCCTCTTACACGCCTAGGCTCTATGGTATAGGCTGTTGTTGCTCCTAGGCTACAAACCTGTACAGCAAGTGACTATGCTGAATACTGCAGGCAGTTGTAACACAATGGTAATATTTGTGTATCTAAACATGTCTGAACGTAGAAAAGGTACAGCAAAAGTACAGTATAGGGCACTTTCCATGAATGGAGCTTGCAGGACTGGAAGTCGTTCTGGCTGAGTCGGTGAGCGGTGAGTGAATGTGAACGCCTAGGACATCGCTGTGTAGTACTATAGGCTGTATAAACACTGTATTACACTTAGGCTACGCTAAATTTATTAAAAATTATTCCTTCAATAATCATAAATTAACCTTAGCTTACTATGATTTTTTACTTTCTACTTTTAAATCTTTTAAACTTTATTTATTTATTTATTTATTTATTTATTTATTTTTGAGACGGAGCCTTGCTCTGTAGCCCAGGCCGGAGTGCAGTGCGGGGATCTCGGCTCACTGCAACCTCAACCTTCCGATTCTGATGATTCTCCTGCCTCAGCCTCCAGAGTAGCTGGGATTACATGTGTGTGCCCCCACGCCTGGCTTTTTTTTTTTTTTTTTTTTTTTTTTGGTATTTTTAGTAGAGACTGGGTTTCGCCATGTTGGCCAGGCTGGTCTCGAGCTCCTGACCTCAGGTGATCTACCCAACTTGGCCTCCCAAAGTGCTGGCATTACAGATGTGAACCACCACACCCGACCTAAACTTTTTGACCTGTAATAACGTTTAACTTAAAACCCAAACACATTGTGCAGCAGTATGAAAATATTTTTTCTTTGTGTTCTTTCTTTTTTTTTTTTTTTCTTTTTCTTTTTTTTTTGAGACGGAGTCTAGCTCTGTTGCCCAGGCTGGAGTGCAGTGGCCGGATCTCAGCTCACTGCAAGCCCCGCCTCCCGGGTTCACGCCATTCTCCTGCCTCAGCCTCCCGAGTAGCTGGGAGTACAGGCGCCCGCCACCTCGCCCGGCTAATTTTTTTTGTATTTTAGTAGAGACGGGGTTTCACCGTGTTAGCCAGGATGGTCTTGATCTCCTGAACTCGTGATCCGCCCGTCTCGGCCTCCCAAAGTGCTGGGATTACAGGCTTGAGCCACCACGCCCGGCCTCTTTGTGTTCTTTCTATAAGCTTTTTCTATTTTTCTTTTTCTTTTTTTTGTTATAAACTAAGGCACAACCACACATATTAGCCTAGGCCTGCACAGGGTCAGGACTGTCAGTGCTACTGATGCCACCTCCACATCCTGTCCTCCTGGAAGGTCTTTAGAGACAATAAGAATGTTTCAGCTCCATTATAATCTTATGGGACCACTTTTGTATATGCAGTCTGTCATTGACCTAATTTGATTTCATTCAACTCTCACAACCTAAAATTAGGTCCTGGCCCAGTTTTCAGATGAGGCAAGGGAAACTCAGAAAGTCTAGGAATCAGCGTGAAGTCCCCCAAACCTGTGAGTGGCCTGTGACCAGTGGTGTGTGGACTACCACACAAGGCGGTGTGTTCTAGGTTCCATGCTCTTCATAATGGGAGCAGGGAAGAGTGCAATTAAGAGGTAAGTCTTGAAATACTATATGAAACATCCGAGAGAGGCTTGCAGCTTTGCACCTTTCTAGGTGGTTCTAAAGGTTGGGTGCAGCCGTAGAGAGATACACAATTTACCTCGGATGTGTTCCATCTCTTTTGCCCTTAAATGCCTGTTTTCAAATGCTCCAATGATACTCCAATTAGAGCAACTATTGTTTCCTTTTTCTTTTCTTTTTTTCTTTTTTTTTTTAAAGTGGTCTTTAGTATTAAAAAAAGATCTTTTTTGGTGAGGAGGGAATAAGGAGATAGAGGATGGGGCACGATTTTCTGAGTTGCCTAAATATGCTACTTTCTCCTCCCTGAAAGACTTAGAAACAGAGGAGGAATCTGGGTCAGAGGGCCCCTTAGGCTGAGATGTTAGCTTCGTGGTGCTGAGACGTGAGGCCTCTTCAAACTACTTTTCTTGTTTGTTAGCTGGTTCTTTTCCTTTCCACCAAAAGGGGCCCTGAAGGAATCCTGAAAGGTGGACGAGGAAAGAAGGAACTTGCTTCCTATTTATTTGCTGTTCTTGTCACTAAGGCCCCACAGTGCCTCTTTACCCTGGCAAGGACAGCTAGTTCCAGGAGCAATTGTTTCTAGTTCCCAGCTCCTTCCTGTACTCCCAGAATCAGCTTCACTGCATCTCCTGAGAAATAACAGCACTGAGTAGGCTGTGCCCCATTCTCAAAGGTCTGAGTCCCAGTTTCGTGGAGGCTTTGCTTCTAGGATCTAAACCCCATGTCTGCTTCTAGGATCTAAACCCCATGGTGGTAGTTGCTTCTAGTGGTCACTCTCTGTCTTTCAATCTCAGTATCCCCTTTTTACTTTTTTAGTACTCCAACATTTGTTTAACCAATTCCTTACAGCAGATTCTTTCTGTTGAAATGACTAGTGTGGTTTCTGTCTTCCCAACTGGACTCTTATTGATTCCATTGTAATCCCAGAACATTTTAGGAAGGACTCTGTGTGATCAGTACATTATCAATATTATCTTGAGTTGCTGTTGTTCTTACTTTTTAATTATACATTGTATTAGTTTAGTTTCATCATTATTATCTTAAGTCTTGTGGGTTAAATAGGGTAAATGTTTGCTACAAAAGTGTTTGGGGCCAATCATTTTTAGATATCTAAACTTTTTTATACATTTCTGTTCAAATATGAATCGATCAGATCCTTCAAGAGGCTAAAGCAGACTTGTACAAAGCCTTCCCTTACCTCCTAAGCGTTCTGAACTTGCACAGTGACGTTTCACTATTCCACCAAGTTTTTCGTCCAGCCAGGAAGTGGGAATGGGGTAGGCCATGGGGTAACTGCGAATTGGAGTTTCTCCCCTCATGAGTGGGCTGTCACTTGTTTGATAACCAACAGTTTTCTGCATGCCTCTCGTCCCCTCTCTCCTTTCCTCTTCAAGTTCCCCTTGGCACTTGTCAGAGGCAGTCAAAATTTGACCTCTAAGGCTTGTCTTTTACATATTCACAGACTCACCACTCTGTCCTCAGAATGCCTAAGGGTTCTGCAGGATGAGTGTGACCTGAGAACTTGCCATGTATGCAGTTGATGTTTCCCATGGATTGAAATAAAGAATGGAGTAATAGTTTTTCTTTTGTTTGCATCTGTGACCCAGAACTCACCTTAGCGGGTTTCCTTAGTACCTTTGCATCTGACCTCTTACCCACCTCTGTTAACTTTGGGAATTAGCTGGCCTGGTTCCTCCCCATCTAAGCCTTCCCAGGCAATGTAATCTTTAGTGTGTCCTTCAGAGATTTTTGAAATGATGTTTTTGAATTGAGGTTTTCTTCTACTTCTCAACTTTACAACTCCTCTTGTCATGATTTACCACATTGAGATCTTAATTTTGTGGAACCTGATGTATAGGATTTCCAAGCTTCCTGATCAAAAAGGCCATAAACCACTACTCCTTACCTCCCACCCCAAACACTAATACCATAGACAAAAAATAATTTTTTTCTATCCTAGTTTAATTCCTAAATGGTTTCCAAGGATAACACATACTAATAATATAAAGTTACTGAATTCTTTCTTTGAGTCAGATCCTACCTAAGAAATTTAAATTTACTAACTACCTCCTTCAATCCTGACAACAATTCTGAGAATTAGTCACATTACCCCAAGTTTCAAAACAAGGAGACAGACTTGGACAGGTCATTCCTTTAATAAGCAACAGAAACTGGAAACTGAATGCTGGTTCATCTATTTTCAAAGTTTGTGCTTTTAATAATTTCCTTATATGCCTCTTACACTAGAGAAAATGTTATGATTTAGCTTT